CCTTGTATCTTGGGCTTTGGGCGAGAAGTCTCCTCTCTCTCTGTCCCCCACCTATTCAACACATCTGCTCTGAGGGTGAGTCCAGGCCACCCGGAGGGAGGCTGGAATGTCAGCAGCTGCTCTCCAAGAATTGAGGAAAGGAAACGAGTTGCTGCTATAGTAGGTTAGACAGCAGGGAGAACTTCTAGCAGGGAGGGGAGCAGGCTGTGAAATGGGTACAGAAGGATGGCAGTGGAAGCTTCTATTCCAGTGGTCCCCGGAGCATCCTGGGGTCCCCGGAGCGTTCTCTTCCCCGCATCCTGTGATGGTTCAGGTTGATGTTCAGAGTCAGGGAGGGGGCGCAGGACAGCCTCACTATTGAAGGCTGCTTGCTTTTGGTTGAGGGACTGCCTGTCCATACTGCTGTCCCTGCTGGGGTTCATGGTTCCCCACATGGCAGCTCTCAGGTGGGGCTTGGGCTCAGGCCACTCTCGCCCTGGTCTTCGGGGCCCGAAACTGTACGTGTCTCCCAGCGGCTCTGATGCCAGAGGGCTTGCTCTACCGAGGCTAGGACCCCCAGCTCTTTCTTGCCTATTGCCCTGTGAACCCCCAACCCCCCCCACGCCTGCTCCCCGGCCCTGGGCAGGCTCTGTGCCAGCCTGAGGCTCAGAGTGAGCAGCTCCAGAGTCTGGCTGGGGACTACTCATCCCCTTCGGGACTGAGCCCAAGATGAGTCGCATTTTACACACCCCAGCTCTCTCTGGACCCCGAGAACAGGGACCCGTGGGGGTCTCCGGCCTAGACCCTTGCTTGCCTCTGGGCCTCTTCTCGTTGCTTCCTGTGCACCAGGGCCGCGGGGGGGCGCACTGGGACCGTGCAGGCGGAGCATTGGGGAGAGGGCTGAGCAAGGCTCGGGAGGTCCCCCCTCCTGCCCTTCTGGCTGCACCAGGCTTCCTGCTGTGCCTGCCCCGCCCCCACCCCGGCCAGCTACCCTTCTGGTCTAATTCCCTCCCCCAAGCCTTCCCACCATCTCCCTCTGGGCCCCCACCAGCTGTGGGCCCCTCTGTTCCTGCCATGGTGATGCGGTACCAGGACCAGGGCCACGGGGTCCTGATCAGGTGGGGACAACCCGAGCTCTTGAATGAGAATCAGAAGATTAGGATAAGTCCCTGCAAGCCCACCGATGAGTTCGGGGGCTTTGGGCATGCTCTCTAGTCCCCTGCTCCCGGCTTCATCCTGTGTTCATCGGGGATCGTGGCTCCTGCCCGGTTTGCTAGCAGACTGTGAGAATCACGCGGAAGAGTGTGGAAGCTTTTACACACTGTAAGCCTCAAGGAAGGGAAGGAAGTTCGTGGGGACACTCGTGATACTGTGGGTCTAGACTCTCCCAGCCCTTTCACTCACCTGAGATGTGAGTTTGGGCACATTCTTAACCTCTCTGGACCTCAGTTTCAAAATCTGCTAAATGGGGCTAACACTAACCGCTGTAAAGAGCTTTGATGAGGTCAAGATGGGATCCAGCTAAGCACCTAACGGGCTGCCACCTTGGTTGTGGCATGACACACATTTATAAACCAGGCTCTTTCATGTGTATCCTGTAGCGACTGAGGGAAAGGAGGCGAGATCAGTCCCATCTTACGTGTGTGGAGATAGACTGAAGTATTAACTTACTTGCCCAAAGCAGCCCATTCAGGAATGGACGCAGTCATGTTTGAACACAGAGTTTTCTATTTCAAGTCCATTGTCTTCACCAGACAAACACCCACTGTCACAGCTAATGGTCACCCAGTCCTTCCTTTACATAGGGCGTCTGTCACAACGATGCTATGAAGCAAGGTGATTGGCTCATCTTACGGTTATGGAATCTGAGGTACAAAGAGGTTAAGTCACTGGCCCAGAGTCGCCTGCTGGCGTGGAGAGTGCTTGATGACTGGCATCCCACCTCTTCCGTCCCCAGGCTCCACCAGGTCCTGGCAGGTGCAGCACCCACCCGTGATTCCTGCCAGAAAGTTCCACAAGGCTGAGATCACTGTGGAACCCCCAGACCCCACGGCCAGGCTCCCCACGGTGCTCCCAGCCCTGCCAAGGCCCAGGGCGCAGTCCTCAGGCCATGTCACAAATGCAGAATGTGCGTCCCTATACAGGTGCAGGGAAAAGGCTGTGTCGGGGGCTCTTGCTACCGACTCGAGAAGGCAGGGGATCTCAGACACACATGGGATTGGGGCGGAATCCTGACCGGGTGATTCTGGGTGGTCTGAGCTCTGAGCCTTGGTTTCCTCATCTGTCGAATAGGCTTCTAAAAACACCCAACCCTAGGGAACGGAGTGAGGACCTCATGAGACCACAGACATGGAAGTTTTTTGTAAATTGTAAAGTGCTATACACTGTAAACTATTATTTTTTTTTAATGTTTTTATTTATTTCTAGGAGAGAGAGAGAGAGAGACAGCTTGAGCAGGGGAGGGTCCGAGAGAGAGGGAGTCACAGACTGAAACAGGCTCCAGGCTCTGAGCTGGCAGTCAGCACAGAGCCCGACGCGGGGCTCGAACCCACGAACCGCGAGATCATGACCTAAGCGAAAGTCGGACGCTTAACCGACTAAGCCACCCAGGCGCCCCTGTAAACTATTATTTTATTATAACACATATGGGACTTGGCCTCCAAGGGTGGGGAAAGCTTATCGTGTGGGCAGAGCAGGGAGGGAAGCCCGGCCGGCCAGGTGAGCTGCCCAGTGCCAGGATCCCGGCAGGGGCTAAGGCTTAGGCCACTGCTGGTGGGAAGCACAGGGCTCCAAACAGCCTGGGTCTTAGAAGGGCCTTAGTCTGGCCTTTATCTCCCTAAGATGAGCTCCCGCCACCTGTCAGCCCTCTGGTCATGCCTCGTGGCTGTTAACGCTCATCCAGCCGGGTGCTGTGCGGGCCGACGCAAAGGCAGAGAGAAATGACCATTCCCTGCCCAGCCGCCCTGTGCCAGATACAGGCAAGAGATTTTCCATTTTATCTCATTGAGTCCTCGGCATTATTAGTCCTATTCTACAGATTAAGAAGAAGAAAGGTTAGGCGGCTTGCCTGAGGTCACATTGCTGGATGGGGGATGGAGACCCGGGTTGGCCTGCCTCCAAAGCCAATGCTGTCAGCTGACGCATGCTGTAGTTTCCAGACATCCTCACCCCGCGTGCACCCCAAGTCCTGTTCCCTGTGAAGCATCCAGGGGCTCACCTGTCTTCACTTTGTGGAAAAATCTAGTCCCCGAATCCGAGCTCTGGCTCAGCTGTGTTAGCAGCAGCTGCAGCTGACCTTCGGGCCCCTAAACACACACAGGTGTGTCCCTGCTCGGCTGGCTGGGCACCTGGGTCCGTGTGCATTTACCCACATCCATTAATTAATCCCAGTAAGTCCCTGAGATAATGGCTCCCAGTCCCTGCGGGCGGGAAGCCGAGTTTGGTCAGGGGCTCGAGATTCCTCCTTGAATTCATCTCGCAGCCTCAGAACAATGAGAGAGTGACCAAACCAGTTACCTCTGACTCTTAGAAAAGGGAGTTTAAAAACAAGCCCCCCATCTCCCCACAGTAGGGATGATGGTGTTGCCTTGGGCCGCTGTTCTAACAAGGAAGACTTTTTCTTAATTGGTTTGCTTACTACTGTCAGATGTTAAGTGCCGTGGCAGGTGAAGGATGTGAACAGCTGCCTGCGGTCCCCGGCCTGTCCCCTCTACACAGCCCTGCCCACTGTGCCCCCTGCGTGGCTGTGCTGCCCTAACTGTCCCTGCTGCTCCCGCCTTCCTGAGCAGCCCAGTCAGTGCTCAGCAGGACTTAGGACGAGGGGCAGGTGCGGCCCCTGGGCCAGGTCAATTCCCAGCTCCCCCCCACCCGCTGCCTCCGGGGAATTTCCAGAGGGGCCTTAAGAGGTAGAGATGGTGTAAGGGGCCAGAGGGAGGTGATGGGGACCGGGGGCCCTGGAGGACTGCTCACCAGCCCCCTCTTTGCTGTAGAGCACCCCAGAGGCTCCGCTTTCACGAACTGGCCCCTAAGATCAGCTGCTGTGCCGTCTGCCTCGTCCCTCCTCAAAGAGGCAGCAAAGCCTCGCGGTTGAGCTGGCCTCCGAGCCTGACTTTCTGGACACACGCTCTGCCCTGCTACTCTCCAGCGACGACAGCTTGATCACCTTTGCTTAGTCTCTCTGCTTCTGTGTCCCCTGTGCAAAAGTGGGGGGTGGTGACAGGGCTGTTCTGAGGATGAAGGGGGTACCTCGACCTAAGGCTTGGGAGCGGGTGAAGTCCTCTGTGCCCATCCGTTAGAGTGCCAGATCTAGGTGAACAAGCACTCCACCTGTAGCCGGGGGGGTTAAGGATCTTGTGCGAAAGGGGCGCACTCCTACCCCAGCCTACACCTTCTTCTGATTCTGCCTCCCCCCGTTTCCTTGGTGCATTGGTGAGTCGGCACCTGGGCGCGCACAACTGCATGCAGGTGCAGGGGCCTGAGCGCGAGGGAGTTCTAGGGTGCTGAGAAGGGTGGGGTTCAAGCCAGGCCAGGGCTTTTCTTTAAGCAAGTGCTTTCCACCCTTTCCAATGACAGCTCATAGTACGAACGGGGTTTTCTAAATCCAGCGCACACAAGGGAAAGGGAAAGGGGCAGGGTGTGGGCTCACAGAAGTGAAGAGGGGCCCAAAGGGGACCACATCTCCTTGACCGACTCTCAGAGTGAAGGTCTCTAGACACATGTAGCCAAAGCAGGGGCCCCCCGAGGCCCAAGCAGGTGGCCCACTGCCCTCTGCCCACACCGCAGGCCCCTGTGATGGGGAGAGAGTATAGGGAGCTGGGGAGAGCAGGCTTTGTGAACCTGCACTCCACCCTGAGACGCTCTCTTCTCAGATGCTTCCCTGCCAGGGGGTGGCGGGCAGTGGGGGTGGCTCATCCCCGGCCTCTTGCCCTGGGCTGTTTATCCCCTGGCTCAGCAGGGCTGATGGCTGGCCGGGTGGGTTCTCAGGGCAGCAGCCTGAGGGATGTCCTTCACTCTGTTTCCAGAATGCTTCCCCCGCACGGACGTCTCCAGCCCGGGCCTCCCCTTCCAGGTCAATATCCGGCAGGTCATCATCTGCCAGGTCAGCCTCCACGACCTCCTCTCCGACGAGAGTGTACCTTGTTAGAGCAACTCCAGTGGGGGCCGTGCCCATCCGGGCATCTCCTGCCAGGCCGGCGCCAGCCACCAGGGCCACCAGGGAGAGCCCAGGTAAGGAGTCCCGCACACTGCGGGAAAGGCAAGAGCTCAGGGAAGGAGTCGATGGGCACTCTCTGCACTTCCTCTGCCCCCCGGGCAGTGATGTGTGGGAAGGAGCGGGGAACAGCTGGGGGTGGGGGGGGGGCAGAAAGGAGCCATGACAGGCAAGCCTGAGACAGCAGAAAATTGGGGCCAGTGGGGTAGGGGAGAAGAACCGGGTCCAAAGAAGCAGCTGTAGCTTTGGGGGCTGAGCAGCGTGGGTCAGAGGACAGATCTGGAGAGCAAGGGTTCCAGTTCTTTCCTTAGGCTGCCCCATGGGTCTGCTGGGAGCCCAGGGTCCGCCTTGGAGCAGCGTCCTGATCACGGATCCATCTGTGGTCGAGGAGGAAAAGGAGAGATTCTGACCAGGCAGGTGCTCTCAACCCCCAGCTCTCCAAACTGGCTTCTATGACTCGGGTGCCGGCTGGAAGTCACAGCGGCCACATGGGCCTTGGGGCTGGCCCTGCCCATCCTTACGTTGCCCTCCTTCTGTCCTAGACTTCGGGATGTCCCCACTGGCGCAATACAAACTGGCTGGAGGAGTATCTCTCTCCCAGTCTCCCCTTCTCAAGGGTTGGGGAGGGGACACTGGGCGGGGGGGGTGGCCTCTGGAAACAGACACCCTTGACTTGAAACCTTTCGCTGCCATTCACTAGCCAAGGAACCCTGAGCAAGTTCTTTACCTTTTTGTGAACCTCCATTTCCCCGTGTATGAAATGAGCGTGGTAATGCCAAGCTCACACGGTGGCCGTGAGAATTAGATAAGCTCGCAGATGCCTGGCTGACCCGTAGTAGATGCTCAGTGAAGGGGAACCGCAGGAATCAGGTGAGGCGGTGCCATATTCTGAAGAACAGGGGTCCTAATGGGGCCCCTCCAGGGCCAGCCTGCTTCCTTCTCCCTCCTCCGCTGCACCGGACCTCCCCCAGCAGCCTTACCCTCCCCTGCTTCTGCCCCGTTCTAGGCGTCAGCTTGCCCAAGTTCACCTGGGAGGAGGGCCAGAAGCGGCTGCCTCTCATCGGATGTATCCTCCTCCTCATCGCCCTCGTGGTGTCGCTCATCGTCCTCTGTGAGTTTCACGGAGGGAGCAGGGGCGGGCTCTGGTCGTGGCAGGTTGGAGTGGGGTCCCCTGGGTGGGGGCAGGCCGCAGGGACACCCAGCGGGGAACACACGCTCGCCTGGCTTCCGTGCCCTCGCAGACACTCCCGCAAATGGCCTTGGACCCCCGTGCCCCCAGGCCCCTTTGAGGAAGCCGGGTGAAGGGGAACCGGGCGCAGGCCTCGCTGGTGCTGCTTCCTGGGCGTCTTGCCCGGCAGAGCGAACCACTCTGAGCTCGGTGTCTGCATCTTCCAACGGGATTGAATTCATTCAGTTCATCTGACTTACTGTGTGCCCTGTCAGCGCTCTTAGAGGCTTCACTGGGTTTCGAGGAATAAATGAGATAATGGCACAAAATCTAAAAATGCTAATTATTTTTTTAGAACTCAAAAAACAAAACAAAACAAAACCCAGAGTAGAGAAAGCCTCTCAGGCATTTTCAGACAATGGGATAAAGTGCTCAGGGGTTTACGCCTCCTTAACCGCCCCCTTCCCCCCCCCCCCACATTCCTTTCAGAAAAGAGATGGAGGACATGATCTAGAGCTCTCTGCCAGGGAGCCCGCCACGGGCCTAGCAGTGGGGGACCTTAGGAAGGAGCACACCCCACCCTCAGGGAGATGGCAGTCTTCCGAGGGACATGGCTGGAAATAATTAAGGTCAAAGGTGACCATTAGGAAGAGGTGACAGCTGTGTGGGCTGGGGCGGTAGAGGCCCCCTCACGAAGAGTCAGGTGATGGCCTGGAAGACGGGAGGGCACGTGGACAGGGGATCCGGGCAGGATAAGCAGCCGCAGGAAACGTTGGGGGCAGGTGGGCACAGTGGGCGCTGGGGGAAAGGGAAGGGCCCCACGTGGCCGGAGAGGAAAATAGCATCTGCGGACGTGGGGCCATCTGTTCGGTGCAGCTGGGCCCCCCTGCTGAGAGCCTTACATGCCAGGCTGGGGGCCAGGCTGTTGAAGAGGCAGCACCGCGTGGCGAGGAGCCGGCTGGACGGACACGCGGGCCAGTCCGGCTGCTCCAGGAAGGGGGCTAGGCAGGCAGTGTAGGGGGTGGTGTGCTGGTTAAGGGCACGGCCCCTCCCACCACAGCCTCCCGGCTCGGCCACTTAGCAGCTGTGGGACCACAGCAAATGAATTCACTTGGAGCCTCAGTGTCCCCACATGCCCGACAAGGTGGTGGCATCACTGTCACCATGCCCGTAAAGGTCTCGGCACAGCGCCTGCCCCGTGGTGTCCACGGGACGCTCCAGCCAGGACTTGCTGCCCTGCCTTCCTGCCCCTCCCCTCACGGGGCAGTCCTCTGAGAGGGGGGTGGCCCGTGAAGGGTGACGTGGCCTCCAAGGGTGGGCCCCCCGGATAGAGTTAGAGTCATGGTGTGGTTTCAGAACGTTTCCTGGAGTCCCCTGACTGTCAAGGTAGCCCTTCCACATGCGGCCCCACAGCGTTCAGAGGGGGGCTGACCAGGGTTCCCCGGAGCCTCGGTGCCCAGGGCGTGGGAGGCGGAAGACCCGGGGCTCAGAGAGGAGGGGCAAGTCCGAAACATTAGGTGCCATTGGTGCCTGGGTCTGGAAGGCGCAGACACACAAAGGTGACCTTCACCTTGGGAGATGGAGCGTGTGGTAGAAGGCCGGTGGGAGAAGCAGTGGGCGAGGCTGAGGCGTAGGCTGAGGCTGGGGGGCAGGGTGAGGAGTTAGACTCCAGTTTCTCGGGCATTCATGGGAAGCCGTCTCCAGTTGGGAGGGACGGGACTCCCAGTTTGGGAAGAGGTTGGTGTTGGAGACAGAGGGAGCCAGGAGGCTGATTTTCACACGTGGTTTGTGAAGCTTGTGCATTTGGGAATCAGCCACCTAGAGTTGCTCTTTGGGTGGAAAGACATTTAAAGGCATAAAGACAAGTAATGAGGCAAGAGCTGAGCAAAGGGGCCATCCCTTGTTTAGGGAAGAGGGAGGAGGCAGAAAATCCAGGAGCTCCTGGGACCAAAGGAATGGTCTTTGAGAAGACAGGGTGGCTAGTGATTGCCTGTATGGACTATAGACAGAAATGTGTCTGCCACGACCACAGAGCAGAGATGAAGGGATGTCAGAGGGGCCACACGTGGAGAGGGGTCTCTGGAATGCTGGAGGAGGCTTTCTCTGGGTGCCACTCTGGCCCACCTAGGGCATGGGAACTTCCAAAGCAGTTCCTGCCTCCATACCTCCCTCTCCCTCTGTCTCTCTCTTTGCCCCTCTCTCTTTCTCTCTCTCTCTCTTTGGGTGGCTGCTTGAGTCTGTCTGGTGCTACCCTGCTTGCAGGAGCTTTTCAGAGCATTCTGGAGCATTCCTGAGCGGCCTTTCTCTCCATACAGATGGGGGAAGAGAACCCCAGAGTCCAAGAGGGATTGCAGGTCGGTGTCTGAGAACCCCCAGGGCCTCGGGCTGCTTAGTGTCTGGTCTCCCCGGGGCTGGCAGTGACGCAGCTGTGTGTCTCACTGTTTTCCAGTCTACTTCTGGCGGGGCCACACGGGGATCAAGTACAAGGAGCCAGTGGAGAGCTGCCCCATCCATGCCATGCGCTGTGACGGGATCGTGGACTGTAAGCTGAGGAGTGACGAACTGGGCTGCGGTAAGGTCGCTGGGCACGAGTGTGTGTGCGAGAGCGTGTGTGTGCATGCTATTGTGTATGGGCTTGAATTGGAGGCAGTGGGCAGAGAGTCGGAGGACCTGGGTTCTCGTCACAGTAGACTAGGGTCTGAAACCCGGCTTTGAGTGCTGTGTGACCTGGGCAAGTCACTGACCTTCTCTGGGCTTCAGTTTCTTCATTTGTAAAATGAGTGAAATGGACAAGACTAGTGATTCTCAGAATCTGACCAACTCCCGAGTCTCAGACAAAATAGAGCTGCTCTGGCCAGAGGCAGGTGTGGGGTCCAGGGCCCCGTCCACATGCCCCTGCTCTTTGCCCAGCAGGTGACCCCTGGCTTGGCACCCCTGTGGTTTCATAAAGTCAGTTTGTAAACAGCTGGCCTCGATGAGCACAGAGAGCTCTTTCAGCGCTGATCCTCTGTGGTTTTTCGGTGTGTTGTCCTGCAGAGCCCCGAAGCAGGTGTCTGTGAGTGTGCGTCACCTGTGTGTTCATGCGTATCATTGCCTGTAACCATGTCTCCCTGTGACCAAACACGCAGTCCGATCAGAGACCTTTTACCCCTTGTCACTCTCTCGTTCGGGCATGTCATTGCCTCTTGAGGTGATGGCTCCTGGCAGTGCTTACGCCGTTTCCCAGCAATGGCCCCCTGGGTCCCGTTGCAAGGAGAGCTCTCTGCCCCACCAGCCCCTGGCCTGGCTCTGCCTTTACTGAGTGCCTTAGGCTTCTGAGCCCTGGCGAGTGATCATTCCCTCCTGGACGTGGCTCCCGGACGTTTCCCGGGCACCGGCCAGGATCCTTAGGACAGGAGCCTCTCAGAGCCTTGCTCAGGACGGTCCTCAGGAATCTGGAGCTTCCTGGGTACTGAGAGCCCGCCCTGCCCTTTTCTTGCCCGGCAGTGAGGTTTGACTGGAGCAAGTCTCTGCTTAAAGTCTACTCTGGATCCTCCCATCAGTGGCTTCCCATCTGCAGTGACAGCTGGAATGACTCCTACTCGGAGAAGACGTGCCAGCAGCTGGGTTTCGTGAGGTAACCCCCTCCCCACGGTCCTAGCTTCTGGGATGCCTCGGGCTCTTTGCAAGGGCCTCTTAGGCTCGATGTGAGAAACTCAGGTTAAAAAGACCCTTGAAGGGGCACTTGGGTGGCTCTGTCCATCAAGCGTCCAATTCTTGATTTTGGCTCTGGTCACCATCTCACGGTTTGTGAGTTTGAGCCCCGTGTGGGGCTCTGTCCTGACAGCGCAGAGCCTGCTTGGGATTCTCTCTCTCTCTCTCTCTCTCTCTCTCTCTCTCTGCCCCTTCCCCACGTGCTCAAATGCTCTCTCTCAAAGTAAATAAATATATATATTTTAAAAAGATAAGAAAAGAATTCTCGGGGGCCAGGGATGAGAGCACTAGCTCAGGACACTCTTGAGTTATGCAAAGAGACAGTGGCCCTGGAGGTAAGTACCACACGGGTAGCTGTGGTCAGGTAAAGTCTTCAGAATCTTTGGCTGTAAAGATTTCCAACCAAAGCTGATGCTCGTGGGTGGGGCGGGGAGTAGGGTTAGCACAGCCTTCCTGCTTGAGGGCTCCCCCATCCTTCCCTTACTTCTGGGCCGCATAGCCAACTCCATCCTCCCTCATGGGCTGCACTTTGGGAGTTCAGAAATGTGTGTGAGGTTATGGGGAGAAGGGCTTAGGATGTCACTGAGATCACTCTGCGGAAGAAGCACTTTGAGAACCGGGGCTCAGAGGCTGGGGCTTAGAACCTGTTCTCTGCCCTCGCTTCAGCCTCAGAGTTCTGATCGCGAGAGAGGGACCTAAGGGATCTGCCTGGAAGATAATAGTCATCTTTCATCATGGAGTCTAGAGACCTTATGCAAATCTGAGCCTCCCTCGGGCTTCAGTAGATAGTGGCGTTTATTCAAAGGATGTGATTGAGATTTTATATGTGCCAAAGACCAAGTGGCCCTCAGACAAGATCCCTGCCCTTAGGGAATCTCCGCTGTGGTGTGGGTGAGAGAGGCTCAAACCGATAACCATGACGCACTGTGACGTGTAATGATAAGGATACATGCGAAGCACTATATGGGCACGCAATAGGGAGGGGGCACCTGGCAGAGAGCAGGGAACAGAGGAGTCCCCGGGGAGAAGACCGGCTCGCACAGAAGGTGCATTCTCGTGCAAGGGGTATCGCATTCTAGAAATGCATGGAAGTGCCATACAGATAGGGATCCATGCATTACCCGCATCGGAATCACCTGGGGTGCTGGTTAAAATGCATCCCAACATCGGAATCTCTGGATTAGGATTTAGAACCTGCCTAACAGACGCCCCAAGGTGATTCCTATATACACTATAGTCTGAGGTCTCGTAAGCGACTACGAGGTTCTCAGACTGTAATGTACAAACCCCTCACGTGGGGATCTTTAAAATGCAGAGTACGGCTCAGCAGGTCCGGGGTACGGCTGCCGCTGGCCGTGGGTCACGGTTTGGCCAGAGAAGGGCCAGGTCAGTGTTTCTCGAGCTTGCATGTGCACCGACATCACCCGGAGAGCCTGTTAAAACACAGAGCCGAAGTTCCTGGTTCGGTAGGTCTGAGGTTCAGAGGACCCAAGAACGTGCATTTCTAACAAGTTCCCAGGTGGTGCGGATGCTGCTGTTTGGGAATGGACCGCACTTTGAAAACCACAGGGCTGGTGGGGACAGCGGTGGAATACGTGGGCAGGCTCTGAGTGTTTTTGGTCCTTAACTGCCTCTGGCCTCTCCCAGCAGGACTCTGATGCACGCAGGGGTGTGTGGGGGGGGACGGGGGCAGTCTGACTGAAGGGGGCTCATTCTTCTTTCCCTCCCCTCCCTTACAGTGCTTACCGGACGACCGAGGTGGCCCACAGGGATCTTGCTAGCAGCCTCTCAGTCTCCAAATACAACTCTACCCTCCAGGAAAGCCTCTACAGGTGCGGTGGGTGGGGGGCGGGTGTTGGGGGGGCAGGCTAGGATGCCTACCTGTGCGCAGGGAAATGGTGGAGCACTTTGAGTCAAGGAGCCCCTCTCTTTTGGCCATTCTCGGACCTAGCCGCCCGGAACCCGTGGTGAATGTCAGGAGCTTCCCAGAAACAGCCCTCATTTGCTACCTGCCTCCTGACTTAAAAGTCCTGATTGAAGCTTGGTGCAGAGAGCACCTCAAGGTCAGGGTGGCACAGAGTTTATCTGGTTGCCAGAGACTACGAGTGAACCTTGGGGCCACCAGCAGCCAGGTGTTTGAATCAGAAGCTTCTGCAGGGAGTGGGCATGGGGTGGGAAGGGAGAGACATCACTGGGGTGAGCAGAGGCGGGGGGGAGCAGCAGAAGAGGGAGTGCCAGGCGCATGTGGTCAGGGACGGGGAGACCCTGCTGGCCATCTGTCTTTATACTGTGGCTCCGCCCTTGTCTCCACCCCACTCCCGCTAAGTGGGAGGCTGGGGCATGTTCCACCAGCTAGCAGAGTTTACCCTGGGGAAGGGGAAGAAGAAACAGGACTCCCAGAGAAAAAGGGATGGGGAGGAGAGGGAAAGGAAGGAACGGATCAGCTGTACCCTGGATGCCTGCTTTGTGTAGGTGTTTTGTGCACTACATTGCCGGAGGAGCATTGAGGGACTGTCAGAGGGGGTCAGGCCACCTGTTCAGCTGTGGAAGATTGCTGGGACAATGAAGTCCTGAGTTCAAAGGACATAGATCTATTCAAGTGTGTGCAACCTACCAAAAGAAAACCAGGGGATGCGGACAAGAGTGGGGATGCTCTGCACGGAGCCATCCCCGTTCCTGGAGAAAGCACTGGAAGGGTCTGGCTCTCTGGGAGGGAGATCAGAATCTCTCATTATGCAAAAGAAATGGGATAGGAACTTAGAAAGGGTCCAGCAGGGAAGGCTTCCTGGAAGAGGTGTTCAATGTGCCCTTTTCACATCTTCTGCATCTCTTCCTGCAGGTCTGAATGCCCTTCCCAGCGGTATGTCTCTCTCCAGTGTTCCCGTAAGAAGATGCTCTTCCTCCTGGACGGTGGCCTGTGTGGGGTGGGAGTCAGGGAGCAGAGGGGTGGGACCTCTCTAGGGGAGATGGTCAGCCCTGGGGGTCCAAGCCAGGAAGATGGTCTTAACTAGCAGGCCTGCTTCAGGGCTGGGGGCCCTGTAAGGCACTGGGACAGTCTCAGGGTAGCATTTTCCCTGTCTCCTGACTCTGCTCAGCTCAGAAACCTTGTTTATACCAGGGATGAACAACAAATCTCATGGATTTGAGGTGATGGGAAGGACTGAGAGAGCCAATCTGGACCAGCTTAAAGCTCCCATATCAACAGATGCAGAACGAGATCTAGGGCCAATGTTTGCTGAGTACCTTCTATGCATAAGGCACTGTGCTCTTGATAAACACAGTTGTATGTGATTCTCACGGGGCAGATGCGATTACTGTCCACTTACTGATAAGGGGCTGAAATGTGTGCCTTGGTTGGTTTCAGACCCGACGGTAGGTAGGGAGCCAGAATCCAACCTCGGGTCTGACCCCAAATCCCAAGCTGTTAACCAGCCCACAGTGCTGTGCTCTCTGCGATGACCCAGGGAGGGGAGCTCCCCAGAGCAGGCAGGCACGGGACTACACAGTGCCCACCCCCTCAGATCGCTGCTCCTTCTTCACTCTGTCCTCTTTCAAAGAAAAAAAGGACCCATGTCTGAGCAAACTCTGAGGGCTCTCCTCCTTGTCCACAATTTTGGGCGCAGGATTCACTCCAGAGCGTGCTTGGAAATGTTCCCTTGGGGTACATGCAGGGTCCCCAGTAGCCCTAAATGACCCGCTGGGGAACCCTGTGGCCCCAGATGCACCTGCACATCAGGGAAAGTTCATCTCTCCTTTGTTCGGAAATGGTAGAGGTCCCCGTCACCGTGCCCATCAGTTCAGGGCCCTGTCAGACTTGGTGTGCTTCCCTGCACTCCTGGTGGCAGCCCTGGGGTTCACCACCATGACCTTGATGCTTGGCACACTGCTCAAAGCTTCAGGCACTTAGTGAGCACTTGTGAAGTTAAGGAAAGAGTGACTGCGTGGCAGGAAAGAGGAACCCGCCTAGGATGGAACTTCCTGCCAGGTGATCCCAGAAATCTAACCTCTGGCTCTGCTTTGGCAGGAAACGGCCAAGCCAGCTCAGATTCAGTGAGCTGAGCAGTGTCGTGGGTGGGTGGGTGCCCTCAGGATGGGGCTGCCTCAGCCTGCCCTGGACCCAGGGAGCACAACGGTGGCTCTGAGAGCTGCAGAGGTCACGGTTCGTCTCTTCTGCTTCTCCCCAGACTGTGGACTGAGGGCCATGACCGGGCGGATCGTGGGAGGGGCGCTGGCCCCGGAGAGCAAGTGGCCTTGGCAAGTTAGTCTGCACTATGGCACCACGCACATCTGTGGGGGGACGCTGATTGACGCCCAGTGGGTGCTCACCGCTGCTCACTGCTTCTTTGTGTAAGTGCCCGAGGGTCGGGTGATCACCCTGGGTTGGGAATCACTAGGAAGGACCAATGGCAGACTGAGAGGGGCTTGGGTTGTGACCCCGGCCCCCCCCCCCCGAGGGCCGGGTGGCACTGGTGTGGCCGAGGCCATGATCTAATGATCTGCCGTTGCGATTTGGTCCTGGGAGTGTGAGTTGGGGCTGCTAGTTCCGAGCTAGGCCCATGATGAGAGAGTGACCTTGCTGACCCCGAGGGAGGGTGAGGCGGACAGATGAAAGGGCTTGGGGGGCCTGCCCCTGAAGAGGCCTCCACTTCCTGCAACAGGAACTTACAGGAGGGGAGCCCGAGGAATCGAGAACGCCGACCCGGGACTTGAGGGGTGGGGATCGCAGGGAGGGTAGAGCGGTCAGCTTCTGTCACCAGTCAGGCTCATCCCTCTGAGCCTGTGAGCAGGAAAGGGCTCTGAGGACGAGGCCGGGAGGGCACTCGCTTTCTCAGTCGTGAGTCAGTCTTCGGCACGTCCGCTTGTGCCATCTAAAGCTCCATTTCTGCCAAGATGCGCCCTGTCCACCATGTAGGGAACCCGGTGGCGCAACGAGGAGGCAGTTGGGGGTGAACGCTCAGCGGTTGTGCCCGTGCACTCTCCTTCATTCTTGGGAGGTGCAGGGTGCCCAGTTCACCATGGGCTGTGGAGACAGGATTGGCTCGGAGCCCAGGGCTGGGGCAGAGGGCTCCCTTTAGAGTCATTCCCTCCATCCCCCTGCCTGTAAGCTGGCTCCCTGTGTGCAGCGGATGCTGCCACCAGGCCCCACCAGCCCCCGCTCTCTTGTGGCTCCCGCAGGACCCGGGAGAAGATCCTGGAAGGCTGGAAGGTCTACGCGGGGACCAGCAACCTGCTGCAGCTGCCTGAGGCGGCCTCCATCTCCCAGATCATCATCAACGGCAACTACACGGACGAGGAGGATGACTATGACATCGCCCTCATGCGGCTCTCCAAGCCCTTGACCTTGTCCGGTGAGTGAATCAACTCCTGGCGCACCCACCCCGGCTCCTCCAGGCCACCCGGAAGCCCCAGCCCGGCTGCATCCGTACACCCCTCTTGGGGGGTTCCAGACCCTCCGCACAGTGGCAGTCAAAGGCTCTTTGGGATCATTTGATGGGACGCCCCTACTTTACCATGGAGGAAACTGAGGCCCAGAGGCTAGAAATAAGGTTGCCCCAAATGATGCATCTCGCATTGCAAGTTGGTGACGGAGACAAGGCTCAGATACTGGTCTCCATCAGTGTAAACAGACTGAATTGTTTCATGTGTATTTCTTGAGCACCTACCAGGGGCTGGGCGCCGTGGTAGGCGTTTCACGTCTGCGGTATCGTTTTACATCTGCGGTAACACTCGACTCTTCAAAACCGATCCTGTAGAGCAGGTACTATTATAAGCTTCGGTTTACATTTGAGAAGATGGAGCTTTAGAGAGCGAAAATTACCCAAGGCAATGAAGCAGTAAGTGGCCGCTCCAGGACAGGACCCAGGGGGGATCCCCCCCTCTTGAGCAATGCTCTTTGCTCTGGGCTCTCTGCTGGCTAATTGCTATCACTGCAGTTGAGAACACATTCCACAAGTGGGTTGCCGTGAGGTTGACTGTAGGAGGGAAAGGCTAGGGGAGTTGTTCGTTCATTAATGCACTCACTCATTTGTGAACTTACTCAGGACTTAATGTGTGTCTGGTGCTATGTACCAGGCTTCTCCATTGCAATTGCAAATAGGACAATGGGTGACCCCCACAGACAGTCCCTAGAGGTCATTGATATGATGGTGAGGACAGCTGGCACAGGTGGGGCTTCCCTGAACGATAGCTGAGTGCACCAGGCTTTCCAGAAACCTTGGAGGGCTCTCTGGTTAGTCCAGTCTCTGGTTTCTCCTGCTCTGAGCCTGTGAGTTGGTCTTTCTTGGCACATTAATTACAGAGGTGGTATCGGTCATGACTCAGACACCGGGTCATCACAGTGGAGTGAGGAGGAGGAAACCAGGGCAGACCTCTATGGGGTGGGGCCGGTCCAGAGCCACGCCCACCCGAGCAACTCCCACTCAGAGCCACGCCCACCAGCGGGCGTACAGTCTCTGCCCCCTTCCTGTCCACCAGCCTGGTTAGTGGAGCCCAGGGACTTCGAGGTGAGGGGCACTCCACTACCCCTGCCCTGCCCCTCATGCCCTCCCCAAAGGGGGCGATCGGTCTACAGGACCAAAATTGGACTTTCCAGTCTTGCCAAACCCAGACTCCATTTGGCTAACCATCCAGATCTCCAACCACCTCAAGCCCCCTTAATGTTATTTGGAATTCCAAATCAAATTAAGTAATTTGTAAAACCAAATGAAAGGTATTATAATATTGCACGTGCTTTTCAGACCATGGCAGCCCCTCTCCGGACTCTGATAGGCCCCTGGGCAGGAAGCACATGCGTCATCTGAGTCTCACAGCTTAGATTTATGTAGTCCTCTGGTCAGACCATGTGCCCTGATTTTTGATTTAGAAATCAGGCAGATTTTCTTAAACTCCTTCGGCAGGCCTACCACTTTGAATTTATAGTACTGGGGGCGCCTGGGTGGCTCAGTTGGTTGAGTGAGCGACTTCGGCTCAGGTCATGATCTCCCAGGGTGTGAGTTTGAGCCCCATATTGGACTCTGTGCTGACAGCTCAGAGCCCGGAGCCTGCTTTGGATTCTGTGTCTCCCTCTGTCTCCCTGGCTCTCCTCCACTTGCGCTCTGTCTCTCTCCGTCTCTCAAAGATAAATAAATGTAAAAAAAAATTACAGAAAAATGAAGTCCTAGTACTATTGGCAAAATCTCAGGAAAACTCACTGATACATGTAATCCCTCCATAAAAATGAGTGGAATATATAACAGTGTCACATGTTTTTAAGACCCTACATCTTAAAAATGAGCATATTTTAAGAAACTGTGTTTTGCTTTTTTTGGTTAATAATTGATGCCATTCCCTCATTTATTTAATTTTTTTTTAAATGTTTATTTTTGAGAGAGAGAGGGACAGAACGTGAGTGAGGAGGAGCAGAGAGAGAGGGAGACCCAGAATCCGGAGCAGTCTCCAGAGCGCGATGCGGGGCTCAAACTCCCAAACCACAAGATCATGACCTCAGCCAAAGTCAGACGCTCAACCGACTGAGCCACCCAGGCGACCCCTCCCCCTTTTTATTAACCCTCATTTATTTTTTGTTTGTTTACTCTCCAGCAGAGAAATGTGTTAGGCACCAAAACTAAAGCCCATTTTATGGAAGAATCTAGCATTGATTCTCGCTCCTGCCCTCCCTTCCTCTGTGTCTGTCCTTCCTTTCTTCCTTGCTCTGTTTGTTGAGCACGTTGCATGTGTCGGGCACTGTTTTAGCAGGAAGCTGCAGTGAGCGTAACAAATGGTTAGGGACACTGCAAGCATTCTATCACCTGAGAATTTCCTCTTGCAAATTGGGGTTTGGTGGTCCATGCGCTGGTCTGTCTAAGGGTGCCGGTCCTCAGAGAAAGCTTGTGAAGTGATCTTCAACGGCACCTTCTAGATGTTTCTGAGCACGGGAGCAAGTGAGCAGTGGTTTTGTGATCTGTGCCTCTAGGGATGTGCTCTTCCCACCTGGAGAGGTTGTCTGAGCTGTGGGGGGTGGGGGGCGGGTGCCTCAGGCCCTGGCCAAACCGTGGGTGCTGTCCCCAGACCAGGCTGGACACATGGCTGAGATGCCATGGTGATAATGCCTGGGACTTAGCCTGCGGCTGCTCTTGGCTCCAATGGACGGGCACGAAGGGGGTCCCACCAGGAAAGCCACTCTTAGGAGGCAGAGATGTGTGGCTGCCTGGGATCGGCTTGGCACAGGGGAACTTCCAAGGGATAAGCTTCTGCCCACATGGCACACACTGAAATCAGAATGCTCGAAGGACTCTGACAGTGCCCAGAAGGCTGGAGGGTCAAGATACAGTGACTGAGTTTCTTCAAGGTCCCGGAAGATTCGGAACCGGTCTGGGGGCGAGGAGGGACTCCTGTCCCTTTGAAATACCATCCTGCCCAGATCTCTAGGCTTGTCCCTGCCCTGATGTCTTGAGATCTCATTGCAGCTCATGTCCACCCTGCCTGCCTCCCTATGCACGGACAGACCTTCAGCCTCAATGAGACCTGCTGGATCACAGGCTTTGGGAAGACCAAGGAGACAGATGGTGAGGGGGCAGAGAGGCTGGGCTGTATGTGTGTGTGTGTGTGTGTGTGTGTGTGTACGTGTGCGTCTGTACGGAGTGTAGGGGGGGTGATGTGCCGGGGTATACAGAGGAGGGCCTAGCTAGGTGAGGGTTGTATGTGTTCACCTCACCCCCACACATGGCAGACCACCTACTAGCACAGAATAGAAACTTTTAATCTTGCGATGTCCACCCTTGACCCAATCTCTTCCATTGAAAAAACTCTTCCATTGAAAAAGCCCCCATTAAATTGAAATTTTTCTGAATTTCTTTTTAAAAGTGAAAAAAAAAAAGTTTGTCTTGGCCTAGGCAGCGTTACTCAACCAAAAGAAAAAGTGCCACGTGTACAAGTGAAAAAAATCCCAGCTGTTGACACAGGCTTCACTAATGTCAGCTACTTTTACATACAGCTATGTAAGTGCAGAAAGCTTTCCTATACGTACACACAACATGTGTTTATACACAGGTCTGTACATAAGGGCCCGTATATTTATTTCCTCAGAACCCTTAGATGCCACCTCCCAGTGAGGACACCAACGCTTCATTCACATATCTCACAAGGGAAGAAAGACTATTTCCAGGATTGACCGCACTGCACAGCCTGTATTCAGACCGTGTAGGCTCCACTTGATTGGTTAAGATCCTTCCATTGATGCAGACCGCACCAGGTGCCTGCATCCCCTAAACAGCTTCCCACAGAGCGTTCGAAAGTGAAAGCCCGTAAACCAACCCAAGATGGATGTGTATATCCCCGAGTATATGTCAGAGCAGTTGGTATGACGGTGTCCTCCAGCCAAGACCACCTGGAAACCGTCTGTAGTTGTGAACACATTGGATTCATTGCTCATCGCACGGAGGGGGGACATAGATCGCGGAGAACCGTGCAAGTCACACTAATAGTGCTAGAAAGGACGTATTGTAGGAGCTGGGTGGTTGGTAATGGAGGTTCAAAGAATCCAAGAAATAGAGCATTTCTCTAGATTGGAAGCTTTCAGGAAGCAGGGATAATTCCGTGATTGGGTATCTTAATAATCTCATCTAAGAGCTAAGGATAAACTGAGTCTAAAGCTCTCATCGGTGAAGAGGCCGTAGCCACTCCCATTGGCTGAGAGAGGGGATATTTGGTCTTTTTGTGGCTTGCACCGTAACCTCCCTTGTTTTCGTTTATCCTCCAACAAGAGTGTGAAGTGGCCTTGTTTGGCCACGCTTCCCCACCGTCACAGACAGAGTGGCCTTGTCTGATGTTGGTTCTGTGCGATTGGTTACGTTTGGCCCGAGCACACCTGGCTGGCCCCGCTGTTAGACTCTGGCCAGCTGCCAGAGGCATGGCCACTTGTCCCTTGCTCAGCGCGATGGGGCGGTGACTGGCCTGGGAGCAGCCTTGTTCTGATCTCAGCTCCGGAACTGACCAGCGGTATGACTGTGGGCGAGTCACAGCATCGGCCACGAGTTTCTCCAATTGTGAATGGATTAATTGCACCTCTTCAGGGCACATAGTTACTGAAAAACAAATGAAAGGGTGTATTTGGCCGTGCTTTGAGTACAGAAAAGCAGTGTACAGCCTGCAGGCATCCTGATGGGCTGAGTTTGAATGTGTACACACGTGTGTGTCCTTATGTTGTAGGTGCGTGGGAGTGTGTGTGTGCTGGCTGGCCAGCCATGGGAATGGTACCCTCCACTCCCAGGAAGCTGGGAGTCTGGCTGGGTGGCTGAAAGGCCGTGAAGCTGTCCAAAGTCTCACTCCTTCCCATCTTCTCTTTCCTCGACTCCACTTCACTGAAGAGAAGACATCGCCCTTCCTCCGAGAGGTGCAGGTCAACCTCATTGACTTTAAGAAATGCAATGACTTCTTGGTCTATGACAGTTACCTCACCCCAAGGATGATGTGTGCTGGGGACCTTCGGGGAGGCAGAGACTCCTGCCAGGTGAGGCCGCTTTGGGGTGGGTCTCAGTTCCTGAGAGCCAGGGGGCCTGGGGAGTGCTGGGGTGTTGGGTTTGGAGCGAGAATCAGGCGCCCGCTGTTTCTTGCTTAAGGACCACCTCCCCCACCCCATTGATATGTGTGCTCCCCGACCCTAGGGAGACAGCGGGGGGCCCCTGGTCTGTGAGCAGAACAGCCGCTGGTACCTGGCGGGAGTCACTAGCTGGGGCACGGGCTGTGGCCAGAGGAACAAGCCCGGTGTGTACACCAAAGTGACGGAAGTCCTCCCCTGGATCTACAGCAAGATGGAGGTGAGAGCCTGCAGGGGCCACTGCGCGGGGCAGGCTGGGAGCTCCCAAAGGTGGGGTGCCTGCAAGAGGGCCCGGGCTTTCCCCAGGGGCTCGGCGGAGGTCCCCCCACCCCCTCGTGCTTGTGGTGTGAAGACTGGGACGGGGCAAGAGTCGAACGGTAGGCCACCCCCAGCTGCCCGAGTCTCTCTCCTTCCAGTTCTTTCCTCTGAAGGCTTGAAAAAGGGCGGGCCCAGGCTGGCTGCCGGCCCCGGTAGCGCCGTCCTGTCCCCGGGATGGCCAAGGAGTGAGTTCACACAGCCCATCGGCGCGGTGTGTGCAGATGGCCTCCCTCCTTGGCAGGAAGTTAGCCTCATGGAGATTTGGGGTGTGGGGATTCACCCCTGCCTTGCTGCCCCCGTTCAGCCTCTACCTTCCCTGAGCCTCCCATCTTGGCTGTAAAGCAGGAGGTCCACGCTCCCCTCTCCTTCCTGTGCCAGAGCGAGGGCAGAACGGCACAGAGAGCTCTGTGGCCGCTCTGGAAATGCAGTCTGGTGGGTCTCTCTGCTCCCATGGTTCCCCGTTGTCTCTGAGGAGCAGTGCCCAGTGACAGCTGGACTGGATTTTAGGCTCTGGGCCCCCACCCTCGGCATCTGTATTCCTGGCCCACCCTCACCCTGTTCTCCCTCGTTCTCTTCCTCAGAGTGAAGTGCGCTTCCGGAAATCCTAGGCCGCGGTCCCGTCCCACCTCACAGCCCTGGCTGCATGAAGACTCCGGCCAGAGCGACTGGGCCATTTGCAATGTCTTCTGGGCTAAAGGCTCCCAGGCACCTTCATCATTTCTGCCTCCACTGTCCGCTGCTTCTGTGAATGCACACACACGTGTGTGTGTGTGTGTGTGTGTGTGTGTGTGTGTGGTTGCTCCCCCAAGGTCTCCAGAAGCCAAGAGGGCTGTCAGCCCTTCCCAAACTCCAGGCTGGAAAGCACCTGGAGATAACGGTTCTGGCGCTGGGGACGTTCCGGCAGGGGCGTCATGGATACACGAGGTGGAGCCCACACAGGGCCCAGAGGAAGGGCCTGGAAGATCATGCCAGGAATTCCTGCTCCTCTGCCGCTGGCTCGGAGACTGGCCCAGACTGAGTAGCCACCAGCATCACCGCCGTCCTGGGGTGGATCGTGGGTTCCATCGGAGGACCGGCCCGGCCCCGGCGGGGACACGTGCCCCTCGGCCTTACAAGCCTCCTGCCCTTTCTCGGCCTCCTGCGGGGACCCTGCGTGTGGAGGGCTGGCTACGCGGTGGCTGTCCAGGCTGACAGCTGGTCTTGTGTGGTCACAGGCTATTGGGGCAGATTTTTATTTTATTTTTATATTCAAGAAATGGAAGTAGATGTATTTTTAAAGATTCTCCAGGAAATCCCAGGAGCCCGAAGAGCTAGCATCCATCCCTCCAAACACTCCGAGAGACTCACGGGGGCTGTCCCAGTTCAGGGCCCCGCCGAATGGTCCTGATGTCAAGGAACCAGATGAAGGAGCCCCTTTGGGGCAATTAGGGAAGTGAGTCCTCCCATGGGCTGGCGAGCAAGTCATGACAGAGAGCCACAACTGTCGCTGCCTCCAAGAGCCCCAACCAGGGTGTGAAGAAATAGCTGCTGCTTCTCCGTGGGGGTTGGAGCCGGGAGGGTCTGGTGGACAGACATCCCTCGTACCTCGCGGGGTCCTGGACCTGGCGGCTTTTTGCAGCCTCTCTGCCTTTCAGTTTCTCAGCTGTTTCAGAAACAGCACGGATATGGACACTGCCATGGAGACGGAGTGGGCACTGTCCCTGGGGCCTCCAGAGAGCCGTCATGAAGGATCTGAGTTGCTCTGCTCCCGTATGTCATCCGTGTGCCTGGCCTCCGAGCCCGCTCGAGGGCTGGGCCTCCCCCAGCCTTTCCTGGCCCGCCCGTGTCTCCTCACTTTTCCTGGGGTCTGTCTGGTGGTGCTGTGACTCCCAGAGGCAGGGCCCAAGCAGGTCAGTCCGGCCCAGCTCAGGCAGGTGGCTGCTTGGGGGCTAGACCGCCTAGAAAGGGCAGGCTGGAGTTGGTTACGGCTGGGGGTCCGGGAGGGCAACGTTCGTGTCCACAGCAGCCCCGCCAAGGGTCTCCAGCAATAAAAGTTGTGTGACCTGAAAAATGGGTTATTGGATGTTCTAGGGATGCCCTGCGCAGAAAATTGAGATCCCCGCCACCCCCAGGTGCCCAGACAGCCTCAGTTTGCACTCTTATTTCTAGTTCCTCTACTGTGGGTTCTGCCTAGGTATTTGGCCAGCCAGCCAGCCACCTACCCACCGTATCAGCGCCTAGTCTGTACCAGGTACTCACGCCAGGCCCCTGGGGTCCAAAGATTATGTCCGTGTCCTTAGGAACTCTTGGTTGTGACCCGGTGGAAGGTGTGATGAGTGTGGCCACCATGCTTGGAAGCTACCAATTGTACCTTGAGAAGTCAGGGAGGGCTTCACGGAGGAGGTGAGGTTTGAAATGAGTCTTAAAATGACTTCACTTTTGTGAAGGGAAGCCTTCACAAAAAAGCTGACAGGGCAGATGAAGGACAATCCAGTGCTTGTCTTGTTTCCTTTTTCCCTTCTTCCTCTTTCTCTACCTCCACCTTTGTCAGCTTGGCAAGAGGCACGTTTACAAGAAAGCCCCAAAGCCTACTCAGTATTTCCAAGATACTTGGATAGCTGGTCCCGTTGGCTTCTGCACTTACTCTTCCTGCATCTAATATCTTGACCTCAGTGACTGTGACCCCGCTGATGAGTGGCCAGTACCCTACTGTAAATACTCCTGCCTCTGGCCACGAACACAGAATTCTCCATACCTGGCCTTGGGAACACCTCAGATTTGTCTTCCAATTTTTTTCTTCTTTAAAGTTTATTTATTTTGAGAGACCAAGAAAGCGTGAGTGGGTGAGGGGCAGAGAGAGAGAGAGAGAGAGAGAGAGAGAGAGAGAGAGAGAATATCCCAGTGGGCTCCACGCTGTCAATGCAGAACCCATCATGGGGCTTGATCCCACATGATCTGAACTGAAATCAAGAGTTGGACGCTTAACCGACTGAGCCACCCAGGTGCCCCAGATTTGTTTTCACTCTCTCATATCAGTGTGAGCAGAAGTCCTTCCTTCCATTCTTTCTTCCTCCATCTCGACAAAAAGGTGTGAGGGAGAGGCAGGCACCAGGCTCAGTGTGCCCGCAGTCAGGGACACGCAGCTACCCCCACGACCTCAGTGGCTTCCCCCAAAGCTTATTTCTCATCCATCTAAACATCCAGTGAGGGTGTCTGATCAGTGGGAGGCTTCCTCCCATATTATTTTTCAGGGGCTCAGTTTCTCTCTACCACATGGTTTTGGCACCTGCTTCTGGTCACAGGAAGGAGGAAAGAGAAGATGGTGCTTTGACATATATCACCCAGAAGTGATATATGTCAATTTCACCCCCATTTTATGGGTGTCAACATGTCGGCACCACCCAGATGAAGGGGGACAGAGAAAGGCGTCATTGGCCAGTTCCCATGCAGGAGTGAGCCCTAGTGTTCAAGGACAACGGGCTGTCTGCGCCCACCAGAGGCTCACGGGTCCCAGCCCAGAAACCGGCCTTGTGGCGGAGACTTCAAGTTTAAGCCATTTATCTTCCTTTCCCTTTAGAAACCTTTTCCTTCTCTCTCTCTCTGTTTTCCTAGGACAGAAGCGGCTTGCAGACGTACAGGGGTGTGGGTGTTAGGGGGAGAGAGAAGGTAGAGGAAAAGCAATGTTATGAAAGGAAAGGAAAAATGCATTCCTTAGGTCCAGGAGGTTTATAGAGGCATAAAAGTCATGGAAGGGGGTGATAGGACTTTCCAGATTGGTCCAGAATTTCCAGGAAGATGTGCACATGTGTATGAATGGGGAGGTGGGGGAGGCTGCGGGTCACACTGTCCTCTGGTCCCTGGATCCCAGGCATCCCCACGTACCAGTCAGGTACTCTGGCTTTGTCAACTCCATTGTCTGCTGCATGTCCCCTGGGAAAGGAAGGGCGGGGCCAAGTGAGTGTGTCGGGGGTGGGGCTGTCTCTCTTTGGAGGCTGAGCCAGTTAGAGCCTGGCTGCCCATCCAGCTGCCTCTGGAGTTTGGTTAGATTCCCAAAGGCTATTGTTTCCCAAAATTGCTCAGCCCATGTCCTCACGAACCGAACCGTAGGGAGATGCATGTGGCGAGATCCTCGTAATGATAATGAAGAGGATACTGATGATAAGAGCTAGCATTTGCTGAACGTTCGCTATGCGCCAGATGCTGGGCTAAACACCTGATGTGTCTCCTCTCCTGTGAGCCTGAGGGAGGCGTTATCATCCCTATCTTGCAGATGAGGATGCAAAGGCCAAGGGAAGTGAAATCAGCTTCCCCAAACTTCACAGCTACCAAGTGGCGGAGCTGGACTCTGAATCCAAGCGGTGCGATTTTAAAAGCTGCTTTCCAGAGTCAGGCGGGGTTCCCGTGGCTGTGACCTCCTAGCCTCCTAGGCTTGGCCGCCTGGCTCCCTGTATCTTTCCGTTCTCCACCACACCCCTGCTGTGGGAGGGGCAGGGCGGGAGAGCTCTGCAGAGGAGCCTGGGCACACGCCTCAGAGAGTCACACGGCCAGAGGCTTAGTTCCAGCAGTTTCTAGAACTGGAGACAAACGTGTTATGAATTATGAATTATGAATGGGAGGGGGCCCCCTGACTCCTCTTGCACCCACGTCCCTAGTGGCTGGTTTCTGGGAGGCCCTCCCATGCCATAATAAGCTGTCACCTCAGGATACCTCCATGTCTCTTCGGTGTGAGCGGGTGGCTCCACCAGACACATGCCCCTCATGCTCTACCTCCTCCGCACCGACCCAGGCTTCCCATTCCATGGAAACCTTCTGCCCAGCCCAGGCAGCAAGCTCATACTGGTCTTATGGTGGGTCCACTCATCGAGAGGACGGAGGACCGTTCTCTGCAGATAAGCAGCCTAAATGGTCCACGCAGAGGTTTTCTTAGATGCTTCTTTGGAGAAGGGGAGGGTGTGGCCTAGGCATTGGTCGTCCATGGCTCAGTTCCTGCTGGCGGGACTTGAGACGTGGACATAGCAGGATGCCTCTTCTGTCCAAGGCCCCAAAGAAGTTCTTCATTTTTCATACAAGGAGGGAGCTGGGAATCTTCTTGGAATCCCTCCCGATTACTCTGTTTTAGTGGCGAGAGCACAGAAGTTGGAATCGAGGGACCTGGAGGTACACATTCCAGCTACACCACTTACTTAGCTCTGTGATCTTGGGCGAGCCAACCTCTCTGTGTCCTCATGTGACATAGACCCGTGTCTCCCACACGCTGTTGCAGGATTGCATGGGAGGCTACATGTAAACACGCAGGACAAAGTGATTGGCATGTTGTGACCTCTAAACAAATGTTGAATTTGCAGCCAAAGGGCTGGGTTCTCCCCTCCTCTATTCATCCCTCCAGCAAATAAATGAGACGGGAGAAGGGAATTTGAATACATGTTCAAAGGGTTCAAATTTCTTAGGAAATGCGCCATTTCTCTGCTTAAATTTTCCTCCTGGGTTTATAGCAGTGAGGTGGTCTTGTGTGAAGGTGGCATTACCAGCCGGGGCAGGTGGGCACCTCCCGTTGGGGGTTTCTCTAAGTCATGGGGCCCCACTGCACTGAGCTCACTCTCCTGCCACTGATGGGACCAGAGTCGGTACC